CTGTTAGAGAGCAGAGAAAACAGATGATTATAACGGATCCTAAACTTCAAGAAAGACTCATTGAATTGATGTGTGATTTTGAACCCAATTCCGTACAAAAGACGCTCCAAATTCTGGAGGACTATCGGCCGGAGATTATATTAGTTGTAATAAGTCTCGACTCAATGTTTCTGTGATTATGTTTGTTGTAATCAATTGTTATCTCTTATCAGATGACCAGAAAGTGTGAGATAAAGGACGGGACGGCATATCTGCCCGAAAAGACCTCCAAATTTGATGAGGCCTTCGCTCTATTGCACACAGATTTGCGGCAAAAGATAATTGATTTTAAGGCTTCAGAAGTGGACCAATTCGTGGATCAAATTGTCATTAAAATCACAGATCTCATAGACCTGTGCGGTCGCTGTACCACCAAAATGACTGAGAGCTCGCAGATGCAGCACACAGTGGATCTCTGGATCTCTTTACTCGACATACCTTGAAGTGACTGATGAGAGTGTCTTCGAAACGCTTCTTCTTCTTCAGAACTTCTTCCTCTTCGGCTTTGATTTGTCTAAACAAAAGTCATTCAATAATTAAATGAATGAATGGATGAATGGAGACATACTTTAAGCGTTGATTACAGGTCTCTATACCATTGATGGCATCTTTGATATTGATTTGTGAATCCATTAGTGAAGCAATGCTTGAAATGTTTGTGTTATTAATCAACACAAACCTCAACAGTGACTGCGGTTTCAATCGCTTTCGTGTCATCTCTTATACTAATTTCCACTCAAATTGCATTCAAAATTATAAATTACTATTTAAGGGACCACTCGTTCAGTTCAATGAGTCACGAACAGACATACAGTCAATGCAATGCATGTATGAATGCAATCAATCATTGGTCCCAACACTCAGTCATATGTTCACTGTTTATGTCAATTAAATGTCTCATCACTTGTCAGACATCAGTCAAGACCTCGAGGACGAGGATCAGGTGAGTGTCCACCAAATTATCACTCAATCATTCTCTTATACACACAAACATTGTGTCCACAGATCGATGACAACGAGTTCTGCATCCCTGCCATCGATGGACCGCTTCCCACACTCGACAGTATCTTCAATGAGGTATTCATTGATGTCATGTCTTGTGGTGTATTGACTCGAGTGGTGACACACAGGAAGACAACGATTCCATTGGAAGTGATCCTCAACTGGAGGCCAACGAAGTGACCACTGGTTTGAATGAATGGCTCGAATCGACTGAAAACTCTTCGCTCAGTAGTTATGACTCGAAGGGCCCGAAGAAGTCATCGAAATATCTTCTGCCGAACGAGTCGTACCCCAAAATAGTGGTAACGAATGGATCGATTATCCGACACTCAGTTCTCAAGACAATATCGGCTCAAATCAAGTCCGCAGACACCGAACGCATCGGTGGAGGAAAGCCGACAGTTATGGAGGTTTCGACCGCTTATGTAGCCGTCGGCACATCCCATGGAT